AGTAACAATTCTAGCTCCCAGGGTTCCCTAGAGGAGCGATATTACCCTATGAAGTGTTATTGACCTATGAACCTGAACTACAGGCAACAGTGCACCTGCAAAGAACACAGTGGCAGAGCGAAGTATCATGGGCAATGCAATCCAATTATGCCTGCCATATCACTGCAAAGGCCCATGCACGGACTGCTGTGGGCACACACACCTGACTGGAAGCTGCAGGCATAGCTGCAGAGATATGCACCTGTTAATAAATGCTTACTTTGGAAAAGCAGGTGAAAAATCAGAATATTAGGTGAAGCATTGTGTAGCAAACTATAGGGAGTTGGAATGCCTTTTAACCTTATCTAGTTCAGTTTATAGTTCTGCAGAAGCATGGCCCCTTTAGAGGCTTAATGAGGAACTTCTCTCTTCCCCTCCCCATTTTGTTTACCTGTTATTCAGTGTTGTCTTCAATTCACATAGTCACCTGCCAGGTGGAAGTTCCCCTCGCCATCTTTGTTCCTGATGTCATTAGGTTCCTTTTCCTGGTTCGGGAATCCTGACCCCTTGATAACGTGCCAGGTCTGCCTCACTCTTCTGACCAATAAAACAATGGTTAATGTTTACAGCTAAACTTGTGCACAATGCCAATCAAGGACACAGAGAAGGGAGAAGAAGAAAGGAGAAAGGAAAGACAGCAGGCATTTTCTGGAGAAGCAGATGTGTTGTGGCCAAAGAGAGCCAAGTTGCTAATTATCTGTCTCTGACAGAGTGAATGTCCCTCTCATGCTGGGGAGGTGCTGGTATCTCTTTCATCCGACAGTACAGAATTTGAACCTGGAACTACGTAACACAAAGCATCAGTGCAAGAGACAACCCACATGGAAGAAAAATATATTTTAAATATGTTTGAAAAATATTCTTCCCAAATATATTGACATATATTTGAAATACTAACATTTTGGCCATTCAATATATTTCAATATATATAAAAAGCATTTCAACTGTATGTTGAAATGCTTTTTTTAGCCTCTCTTAACAGTAGGTCCTCCTCACCACCCCTGTCTTATGTCTCTCAATGGGAGCGAGATCTAGGTTTCTCGATTGCGGCGGAGGATTGGCATAAGGCCTGGGGGATGAAGGTGAAATGTTCCTTCAATACAGTCACTCTTGAGACAGCCTACAAAGTTCTCCTGCGGTGGTACTGGGTCCTGGCTCGGACTGCTCACTTTAATCCGACTGGCGGAGATAGGTGTTTCTGGAACTGTGATCTACATGGGGACGTCTTGCACATCTAGTGGTCATGCCTGCGATTGATAGGTTTCTGGTCTAGAGTTTTTGGTTTACTGCAAACGCTATTTCATTTTACAGTCTGGTAAGGATGCAAGAGTGGCCCTCCTGCATTGCCCAATTTTGGGTCTGTCTAGGTCTCAGCAGAAATTGGCATCCTACCTATTCATTTTGGCAAAACATGCTATAGCTCAAGCTTGGAGAACCCCTTCGGTTGCCTTCCAGGGAGAGAAGACCCGGATGAATGATATGCTGATCAATGAACAGATATCTAGCATTCTTAATGATTCTCATCCAAGATTCCTTAAGGTTTGGGAACTTTGGATACATTATTCCCTGCCGTCCCTGCCTCCTACTAGCTGTGGCCTCTTGTTGTCATTGCCTGTGCTAGCCCTGGATCCATGACTCTTCTAGTCTTCCTTTCTTCTATGTTTTCAATCTTTCTTCCTTTCTTATTTCTTTCTATGTTCTTATATTTTTTTTTTTATCAGTATGTTCTGAGCTGATACTTCTCGGTAGGAGTTTTTCCTCTGTTTTTTTTTTCGGTAATATGATGGATTGCTGCTGCTACTATTTGGTTCAGCTTTTTGCCGTCCCTCCTTGCTGTCATTGGCCGTTCCGTTATTTGGTTAATACACCCTGCTGATTTGTATCTGCTTATGTATGCTATTGTTCCGCTCTGCCCCTGCGTGGGTGTATCATGAGCTTGTTGTATTATAAAAACAAAAACTTCTTTAATAAAAAATATTGAAATAGAAATGCTTTTTTATATATTACAAAATATATGAAAAATGTTTTTAAAAATACATTTTCAAATATACTGTGTGTCTTTAAAAAATACATTTAATCTACATTTTTGGAATGCATTTACAAATATATGTAAAAACATATGTTAAAATTACATTTTCATATGTTAAAACAATCTGAAGAATATATTTTTCATATATTTTGTAATATATAAAAAATGCATTTCAACATATATATATATTTAAATATATTGAATACGGCCAAAATTGTAGTTTTTCAGATATATGTCAATATATTTGGGAAGAATATTTTTAAAATATATTTAAAATATATTTTTTTCTTCCATGTGGGAAGCAGTGTGAGAGAGTGCAGAAGTTACAAGGAATTTGAAAGTGTTCGTCCCATTGACTTACATGGGAGAGTTTGGCAGGCGGTGCCACCTGTCATACCTGGCATGTCACTTTAACCACTTGCCTACAGAGCACTTATACGCCCTTCCTGCCCAGGCCAATTTCCAACTTTCAGCGCTGTCGCACTTTGAATGAAAATTGCGTGGTCATACAACACTGTACCCATATCAAATTTTTATCATTTTTTTGTGACAGATAGAGCTTTATTTTGGTGGTATTTAATCACTTCTGGGTTTTTTATTTTTTCTTAAACCAAAAAGCACTGAAAAATTTGAAAAAAAAAAAGTTTTTTCTTAGTTTTTGTTATAAAATTTTGTAAATAAGTGATTTTTCTTCTGCACTGATATGCGCTAATGAGGCTGCAGTGGTGGGCACTGAAAGGTGGCACCGATGGGCACTGATGAGGAGGCACTGGTAGGTGGCACTGATGGGCATTGACAGAGATCACTGAAGGGCACTGAAAGGCAGCACTGATACATGGCACTGATAGGAAGCACTGATAGGCGGCACTAACTGGCACTGATAGGCGGCACTGATGCGCACTGATAGGCGACACTGACTGGCACTGATAGGCAGCACTGACTGGCACTGATAGGTGGCACTGATTGGCAGCACTGATATGTGGCACTGACTGGCACTGATGGGTGACACTGAAAGGCAGCTCAGATGGGCACTGATATGTGGCATTGATGTGCACTAGTAGGCACTGATATGTGGCATTGATGTGGCACTGATGGGCACTGGCACGAGGCACTGATGAGCACTGACACAAGGCACTGATGGACACTGACAGGTGGCACTGCTGGGGCTACACTGATCATCAGGGCACACTGATCATCAGTGCCCTGATGATCAGTGTACATGTCCCCTCCGCAGAAAGCCAATTACCGGCTCTCCTCTCCTCTCGAGCTGTCAGCGTGACAGCTCGAGAGGAGAGAAATGCTGATAACAGGCATTTCCCTGTTTACATGTGATCAGCTGTGATTGGACACAGCTGATCACATGACCGAGCCGACATCTTCGGCTCTTTACGTGATCGGTGATCCGCTGTGTCCGAGGGACACAGCGCACCGCCGATCGCCACGCTGCGCGCTCCCTGAGCCGCGCATGCGCGGTGAGAATGGAAGGACGTCATATGGTATCCTCCCAGAACGAGAGAACCACCTTGCGCCCGTCATTGGACTATATGGCGGGCGGGAGTTGGTTAAAATTGCTGCAGCAATGTGTACTCACCTGAGTAGCACCATGTCTGCTGGTAGCTGGGGTGGTAAAAATGCATATCAACTGCCTGTGTTTATGGCCAATTGGCTGCCCATGTGAGAAGAGCTTAGGAGTAATGAAAGGCCACCACATATGAAGTTGCTGCAGAAGATAGCATTGAACTTGAAATGTCTTCTACATTGAGTGGTCAGCTCTGCAATGCCATTTGTTCTCAGTCCCTGCCACAAAAGAAGAAAGCAGATTGATGTGTTGCTTAATATAAATTCTGATAGTCACAGCTTCTTAGAACCTGCTTGCATAACCTGCAGTGTATTTATATGTGATTGTGGCAGAAAACAATAACAGTGCTGCTTATGTGAGCCTGCCTTGGATTTGCATCTACCCTCAGCTGCCAACTGTAGGTCTATGTAAAGAGACCGTCTCTGATATTGCTGAATTGTCTTTGCAAGTACAGTGGCTTGCAGTTGTCTTTGCAAGTAGTGACTGAAAAAATTAACTAACACAATGCTGGTCAAATCCTGTAATAGGATGTAAACAGTCAACAACAAACGATTATAATATATGTGAATTTTACGGTATCCCTTGAATAATTCAATACAATAAGGCTATGAATAGCATAAAGATACACTTTTCCCAAAAAAGTGTAAAAACTGTGAATATGAATATGCTAATACAAATATTCCAAAAAGTATATATCACACAAATATATATATATATAAAAAAAAAATAACAGTCCAAAAATAGATAAGAAATAAAATTAAATAAATAATGTTATAAAAAGTCACTCTGTGCCAACTTCAATCATCAATCTTCATATACAGCCTTTCAATGGCTCACAAAGAAACCTCAACATAAAAAGAAAAATCACATAATACATTATCTTAAATAAAATATAAATGAAACAGATGTGATAAAAGCAAACAACAATGCGTGATCACAAATAGTGAAAAAAGTGAAAGTGTCAAAACAGTGCCAGTGAATCAATCAAGTGAAAAATATGCATCCAAAAACAACATGTGAAACACTGTGTCCACATCTATGGTGTAAGGAGTGAATACCCTTACCAAAAATATGTAAATAATATGCCATTTACACCTCCGGCGAGAGTATTATCACAAATTCTGCTTCAACCAAAGGATCATCACATCAGCCATTACCGCTGAGCGCTCTGCATGAGACTCTCCCAAAGGTCAGAACCATCCCAGGCGCAGACCCCGCACCGCCAAGACCCTGCCGAGCCCCTGCAAGCCTGCTGTATCTCTACCTGCAGAAGCCCGCTGTGTCCCTATCGGCTGATCGCTGGGTCCCTGGGAAGCCACCTTGTCTGCTGATCATTGGGCCCCTGAGAAGCCGTCCTGTCTGCCGATCGCTGGGGGCCCTGGGAAGCCGTCCTATCTGCCGATCGCTGGGGGGGCCCTGTGAAGCCATCCTGTCTGTCGATCGCTGGGGGGCCCTGGGAAGCCACCCTGTCTGCTGATTGCTGGGCCCCTGGGAAGCCGTCCTGCCTGCTGACCGCTTTGTCCTTGGAAGATGCCTGCTGCTGAGCATCCGCAAGTCACCTACCTCCCTGAAAGCTGCCTGCTGCTGAGCATCTGCAAGACGCCTATCGTGAGTGTCCCTAGAAGCCATGAACTACCCCTATTGTGCGCACAGACCACTCTTGTCCTAAACTGTCCCTTTTGTGCGCAAAGACCACCCGTGGTATGAACTGTCCCTGTTGTGCACACAGACCACCCGTGCCCTGAACTGTCCCTATTGTGCGCACAGACCACCCATGGTATGAACTGTCCCTGCTGTGCGCACAGACCACCCGTGCCCTGAACTGTCCCTGGTGTGCACACAGGCCACCCGTGTCCTGAACTATCCCTGTTGTGTGCACCGTCCACCCATGTCCTGAACTGTCCCTGGTGTGTGCACCGACCACCCGTGTCCTGAACTGTCCCTGCTGCACACCCAGACTACCCCTTACTTGAACCGCCCCATGGCGTGCCCGGAGTATAGCTATCTGTGATACCCCTGAGTGCTTGAGCCATCGCTACCTGCTGAGTCCCTGTGAGCCTGATGTCATCCCTAGCACGCTGTGTTGAGTTCAGACTCCACAGCCCAAGTCCTGTTGAGTCCCCGTGAGCCCGATGCCCCTAGTATGCTGTGTGGGAGCTGTGTTGAGGGCAGCCTCCACAGCCAGAGTCCCGTTGAATCCCCGTGAGCCTGATGTTGCCCCTAGTAGGCTGTGTGGGAGCTGTGTTGAGGGCAGACTCCACAGCCAGAGTCCCGTTGAATCCCCGTGAGCCCACTTACCGTGGGTGTCCCTACAAGCCGCATGTCGCGGAGTACCATGAACTGTCCTGATTGAGTGTCTTGCATAGTTCAATAAAGCTTTGTGTGTTCCCCATCTTCTTTGCGTGTTCTGTCCTGCCTACACTCCCGTCACAATTACAAAGGGAGTTATTTGTTTCATATGAGCTCCAACAGGCCCCAACTTTGCCGGCTGTTGACATTGTTTGTGTATTTATTCTTCAGTGGCCAGTGAGACTGTTTTAATGTTATTTATTTGTAGTTAGGATAATGTCTCCTTTACCATTCACACTGCTATTTAAATTTATAAGCTACATTATCTGTGATTGGTGTATGCATTTACTACTGTTACTGTTCATGTATGTCTGCATTGGGTTGTCCAGCCATTACCCAGTTCTCTCCTACAGTGACAGCCTAATAAAAAGAAAATATTTTACTTAAGCTGGTGTGTGGGTGTGTTATGTGTACTATTTAGAGGATGACCACAGCCAGAGGGTAGCTGCTGGTATCAAATCTAGCTGCTCTTTTGAGGAGTGTATTTTATGTATATCTGCTAAACAGGGGTAACTGGTTCAAAGGATTAGCTCTACACCACATACATTTTCCTGCATTCCACTGATTCACAATTTTACAGATCCCTACAAATAGTATAAGCAAGTTTGCTGCTTTAAATCTGCTCTGTGTAACTTCCCATGCCCTTTCTATGTTACAAGCCATATAAAGTTGCAAGACAGATTTTAATTTGATTGGTGGCGAAAAGAAACATAGTAGAAAAAAACTACAAGATGTCTGTATCCTATTTAGTGTCTTCTCCTGGGGAGAATAGTAGAAATCATTCCTTTAAACACTATGAACTGCAAGTGGATCACTTGTAACTTAACTAAAACCATATTGCTATGACAGTGAAGTCAGGTCAGCAAGAACTTGATACAGATCAGTTCCTCTAGCTCTTCCAACAGTATGAGTTCTGCCAAGCTAACTGACATTAGAGTATTACATGTAGTAGGTGTAGTTAATTAAGACAGGTTGCAGTTATCTACATAAGCCAGAAAACGTTTATCAAGTGGGCATATCTGCAATTAGATGTATTTCTTTATTTATGCTTTTTTTTCCTTCTTTTTGCCTTCTAATTATCCTTGCCTTCCTCACTTAAGTTTTCTTTTTGCTGTTTTCTGTTGCTATTGTCTTCTTTTCAATTGTGCCTTCTATTGCTTTTACCTTTTGTTTACCCCGTTATGTTTTGCTATTCTTTTCCACCTTGCACATTTAATTTACCTTTAAATATTCTTTACAAAAGTAGTATGTTGTTTGTCGTAGTATTCCTAGTAGGGCCAATAGTCCTATAGCCTAATGCAAAATCTAATTTATATATATACTGTATCTTAGTGGATATATACAACTTATATAGTATATATTTTATTGTTGGCTAGAAGGAACCAGACATTGTAGAGAGGTACCTTCATAGTGATTCATAATTTCCAAATATATCTGCAAATGTATTCTAGCAAGACCTCTGTTGTTTTGTAGGTTAGAAACTGAATTCCTATGAACTCCCCTTTGGTAGCTGGTGCAAACAAATTTTTGGAATTTGTTTGACACCCTCAATGTGTTTAGAGGGTATAGGGAAGTCCTAGTAAACACGGCACCATCCTCAGTTCTCCAAAAATTTCAAGTCAATGACAAAAATGGTCAGATTTAAATCTCATGTCTGTCGTAGGCAAAAAACATTCCAGGTTAAAGCACAATTGGAAGAAAAAAGTTAAAGCTAGAAGCGAAGAAGAAATGTCATAAACGTCCATTAGAAACCTCAAAAGGCTCCTAATGCAGTCCTGTCCTAAACAGCCAGGTCGTAAAACAGACTAAAAAAATCCCAGCGCCAATCAAAGAAAGTATACAATTATGCAGCTGTGCACCAGTGAAAACCACCAATAATGAATAACACAAAAAACAGCGCAAAAATTAAATAAATAAAAATAATCACAAATAAATAAATGTCCGTGCAAAAAAAAAAAAAAAAAATATATATATATATATAATATTTCAAACATAAGTCCTTATTTTCCCAAAAGGATTTTCAAGACAATGTTCCAAAATGTGCTTCCACCTAATCACCACGTGAAAAATAATATTGACCGCACTCACCAGATGGAGGTGAGTAATACGCCTCATAGGATATAAGGGATCCTATAGCCCCTCAAGAGGAACTCAAATCACCTTCTTCACCCTGCTTAGATACAGCAATCGACTCCACTCTACTTCTCCATGGAATCCTCAATAATGTGCAAGGAAAGAAAGGCTACATAGTGTAATACTGCCACTCAATACCATATAAATTGATAGAATAACGACACTCACATGTTTCAATAAAATAACAGGCCTTGTTTAATAGCCTCAAAGGCTTCAAGAAAACCAGTTTCCAAATTGTAAATATAGGGATCTCACGCTTTAAGAATCACTGTAGAGGATGACCAGCTTTCCACCTCTAAAATGGCCGCTTGAACAGCTAAAAGTCGGCGTGCATTCCAAATACCGGAAGTGACGTAGGCCAAGATGACGGCAGACCGGAAGTGTGTCAACGCGCGTTTCGCCCCCACCCACAGGGCATTCTCAAGGTCTTGCTGTATCTAAGCAGGGTGAAGAAGGTGATTTGAGTTCCCTTGAGGGCTATAGGATCCCTTATATCCTATGAGGCGTATTACTCACCTCCATCTGGTGAGTGCGGTCAATATTATTTTTCACGTGGTGATTAGGTCGTAAAACAAGTCTTGGTCTGAGCAATACACATCCCATCCCGGTCTGTTTTTTTCTTTAATTACCAGAGCCAAACTCTATATTTATTCCATAATTCCTGCTGTGATAGAGTTGCCTTTGTAAAAATTGGTTACATATGTATGGGAAGACGCCAATCAGTTATATACCAAACATGCCTATGTTACAAAGTTTAAGTGTCACGTACCTGATTAGGAGACTGAAATGATGAGGTCAGCCTCACTTGTGTCACTAGCCCTGACCCACACTGGAAGTGGAACAGAGGGTGTCTAGGGACCAGGGGGACAAGAGCGCCAGCAGATGTTGTTTGCAGCTCTTGCAGTTGGAGACTTTGGAAGACTGATGAACCTCCGATTCAGGATCAGTAGGGATATGCAGAGCTGGTGTGGTAGGTCACCAGGTGTGCTCCAGAGCAAGGCAGGAAGCAGGGGTGGGAGACAGGAGCAATGTCAAAGGAATAGCTGGGGTCATCAACGGGCGGACAGCGAGGCACCAAATCATAAGCAAGCCAAAGTCAGGAGCAGAGCCGAAGTCAGGAACAAGTATCAAGCAAGAAAGTAATCAGAGTCAGGTCAGGAACAAGCCGGGTCAGCAACAAGGAAATCACACAGGAACGAGCAGGAAATGGGGAACAGCTGAAGACCAGTCAGCACTCAGCACAGGCAAAGGCACCTTTTCAATAGTCCGTCTGGCGCCAATCTTCGCAGTGCGTGTGCACATGCGTGTGCGTGATCGTGCATTTCTGTGCGCATGCACACGTCTATTCGGCAGCCGTCTCACGGGAATTCCCTTAAATTAAGAGCCTAATTAAATACATTAGATCTCCTACGATCCATATTATATTTAGGCTCAAACAGATTGTGATATTATTCTGTTACATAATGTTAGTTGTTGGATTGTAAAATTTTTTAAGATGCAAATATAGTTGAATTTAAAATAGTTGGCTTAAAGGGTGTATCTGCTCAGCATGATAAAATTTTCCAGCACAACTATTGACACACTCCAAGACCCTATGATTAGAAGAAATTACATTATTATTAATATGCTACAGGATTTATATAGCGCCAACAATTTACGCAGCGATTTACAACATAAGGGCAGACAGTACAATTACAATACAAATTAATACAGAAGGGATCAGAGGGCCCTGCTCGTTAGAGCTTACAATCTAATATCTGTAATATCCTCTTCAATGGCCAAAAACTGCATTTGCTTTTGGCAACTGCAGCTCTCATTCACCATTGAAACCATGAAGGAATGTTAAGAATCATTTATGAGAGCCAGTGACTCTGATATATTGGATTAGATTTACTCTGCAAGTAAATTGAGCTCTGGACAGATCCAAAGACCAGTCGAACTTTACTTAAGTATTTTTTTCACATTTACTCCCATTTGTTTACTGTTGCTTATGACTGTTTTATAATATTTTTTCTATAAATACCACCACTTTTTCTGTTCTTTAATTACAATGAAAATTGTTGAGCCAAATTTGAATGCTCTAATTAGAATAAAAGAAGTTTGCCTATGTAAAAAGTTGTGGTATTTTAAACTAATGTTAAGTAGTCTAATACCCAAACTGTTGCCCATTTTCCCATAGTGATTTATCCTTCACTGATCTTTTAAACTAAAATTAACATGGATTATTGCTTTTTATTAACTAAACCAACATATGTAGCTTGGAATTAATGTATGGAGATTATGTATATACGATATATACTGTACAGGGTGTGCCTAAAGTCTGGACAAATAGGAAATATCACATACTGTGTGTGTATATATATATATATATATATATATATATATATATATATATATATATATGTGGGACCTCGCTTCAAATGGTAGAGCTTTTGTAACGCACACAGCAACTCGCTTGCTTTTTTTAAGGGCTGTTTCAGCCCACTTTTATTTAAAATGACAGTTCAATAACATAAGAGGTTTCCCACGCAGGGGTAGCTATCATCAATATAAACAAAAAAATTCAGCCTCCTGGCTCTCTCAGATATAAACAAACAATCTTCCTCTGGCCTTTCTCTTCAGGCTTACGTCTGTCTTCTGCAGACCCCTTCAAAAATGGCTCTCGCACACAGCTAGCCACTAGCACACAGCTAGCCACTAGCACACAGCTACTCCCAAGCAGCCCCTTGCTGCTTTGGCTTCCACCTCTCCTA